GGGGGCGGAGAGCGGGGTGGGAACGTTCCTGTGGGAGGCTGATAGCGCTGCGGCGATGGAGAGATGTAGGAGGAGGGAGGTCGCCAGTCTCCTGCAGAGTGCTGCTTCGAAAACTTAGCAGAAGCAACGCCACTGTTAAAAGACAGGGCATAGGCGAGGACTGAAAAGGTTTAACGACTTAGGGAAGAGTCATTGTTAAGACCCTTGCGAGGCTGGAGAGAGCTGCGTGCGCTCGGAGCTTCAGGACTTGCGGCTGTGAGAAGGGTCTCGGAAAGAGGACTTACTCAGATGGAAGATGAGGGGGAAAAGGAAGTTACAGTGTACAAAGAAAGCCATTTTGAGGGGCGAAAGGAAGGTGAAAAGGAAAGAACGGAAAGAGGAGTGAACTTTCTCTACGAAGAGAGACTTCTCGGGAAAGGCAGTTTGTTAAGAGTACCTAGATTTTTAAGACTGCTGTAATAGTAAAGCTTTTTGAATAGCTGGAATGAATGTTTAACATCAGGAATAAATGTTTCGGGGAATAGTTACTTTTTGGATAACCAAGTTCTGGCAGAGTCTACTGGACTGTAGTCTCTGGAGAATTAAAATCCTGATCTAGACTCAGAGTTTGCTATGATTGAATTGGCAGCGGCCTATTTCCCCCCATTTTTTGTGGAGTGGAAATAATCGTAGGAGTGAATTCTCTTTGCTGAGGTCGGAGGACAGCTCTGCTCTCAGTCTGCTGTCTCGGTACTTTTCTGGCTGGGGAAGGATCTGACGTCTCCTTCCCCCGCTTCTTCCTCTCCCTCCCCTGCCAGAGATCTCCTTTGTTTATTCGTGGATGGCTTGTAGGTGACTCTCCAGTGCTGTGCTGGTATCTTGAAAGGTGGAAGTACAGTGTCTTGATCCATAATTTTTGCCCCAGACTCCTTATTTTAAAAATAAATAGTATATATTTTATTACCTTTTTTAAAAAATGGAATCTCTGCAAGTACAAACTGGATTTTTTCTTTTTTTCATTCCACTATCGGTTTACTTGTGAACGAACATACTTATTTTGACCTATACATTTTTATTAAGATTATATGATATCCTTTAATACCCTTTTATTCTGCTTTTATGTGAGCATTTTCAGAACTCCCTCACTCCAGTATATGAAGTTCTGGGTGATAGGTATTAGTGCTTGATTCAAGGTAACCTTTTCCCCCTCAATTTGCTTGACCAAGAATTTAATAAGACTCCATTTTCTGTTCTTTGTGTGTATGTATATGTTATATACTACCACTTTGCTTTCGTTATCTATTACATATATATTGCTATACAGTTGCAGTTAGTCTAAAAGTTTTATCACTCCACAGATATTTTCATTTCTGTCAAAAGTAAGCAATGGTGTGCTAAATTTCTAGTTAAGAGTTAGGAATGTAGCTAATAGAAGCCTAGGTATTTTGAATAAAAGACCCCTACTCCTCCTGTACCCCCTCTAATGTAAGTGGCTTAGATTTGTGTAAGTTCTAAATAGACTTTTTAATGTTTTTCCCCTTGGAGAAATTTTCTTACTTTCTTAATGTGTTTTTTTAGGTGAATCAAAAAGGGTCCCAGGAAACCTGTGACTGTTGGAAGAAAATTCATCTGAATTTTTGATATTCAAGGAGTCAGTATTTATATTCATCTTTTAAACTGGGAAGATTTATATTCCATTTTAAAACTTGTTGATATTTACAATGAATGGACACAGTGATGAAGAAAGTGTTAGAAACAGTAGTGGAGAATCAAGGTAAGCACTTATCAAGAATTTATAAAGAGAATTGAAAACTTTTGTGATTATTTTTACTTTTTCTAATAGGTGCAGAGTTTTCAGATTCAGATTCTTTCTCTTAGCTATCCAAAGAGCAGAAGTTTCTAATTAATGAAGCTTTTAAAAAATTTTTTTTTTATAATATGAGGAAGGGAGGGGGGAAGAGAGAGAAACATCAATGATGAGATATAGTCATTGACCGACTGCCTCCTGCATGCCTGCTACTGGAGATGGAGCCTGAAACCCCTTCAGGTGCCCTGACCAGGAATTGAACCATGACCTCCCGGTTCAACCATTGGGCCACAGTGGCCGGGCTATATGAAGCTTTTTTGGTAACAGATTTTAATTATTTTTTTTCCCATTGAGATACACAAAGAATTTACGGAAAGTTTTGGGTTAATAATTAAAGCTAACGCAAATAGACATTTAAATTCATTTGACTGTTAATGCACTCTCCAAATAAAAGCAGTAAGAATGTCTGTATTTATATTTTTCTGGCATTTTGTTTTCTTTACCTGTGCTGTCCAATATATAGTATTCATTAGCCATGTGTGGGTCTTTAAATTAAAATTATGAAATAGTAAAAATTCAGTTAATCACACTAGACACATTTCCAATACTAGTCACTTGTGGCTAGTGGCTATCATGATGGACAGCACAGACAGAAAACATTTCTATCACTGCAAAAAGTTCTGGACAATGCTGATCTGGATTTTGTTAAAAGTGTTGCTGCAATACTTCTCTTCTCCCTGCCCCCTCACCCCATTTTCTTTCACATTTGAGTTGTAATTATATATGAATAAGTTGAAGGTTATTACTTGAGCTATGTCTTTGCAAAGAAGATAATGGTTTATGGTAATAAGCCATACTAAGCTATTTTAATTTGTAAGAAGCCTTTTCTAATACAAAGCGTCTTTTAATTCTTCCATCAGCCTCAAAGTTGAGTTATCTGCACAATAATACAATCCATGTAGTTATTGTTCATTTATTATATGTGGAGATCGGGAATATGGACATTGGAGTCAGGTTGCCTGACTTATCCTGATATCTTACCCCAATTCTACTTAGTAGCTGTGTGAATTAGGGCAAATTATTTAATTTCTGAGGTTTTGATTTTTGCACTTATAAAATGGGAATTGCAGTATTATTTATATTATTTAAGGATTGAGATGCTACGTGTAAAGGGCTTAAAATAGTTCCTGATATACTGTGCTCTCTATATTTATTATAATTGGCATCATGTTTTATGTATGCCATGTAGTAACATATAGGATATTACATAACTGAAACATTAATTACAGTGATGGACAAGAAACAGGCAGTTTTGGCAGCTAGTAGAATTTCAGAAAAAATGTTGGATAGACAGTGAAACAGTGGTTTAGGCATTTGACCTGAGACTTGGGATTTTTTGGTCTTGCTGGCTATTCTTGAGTTTATCAGCTTTCATAGGCCGACTGGATAACAAGAACATCATAGTGAAAAAGGAGCAGCTATGGAAAGCAGCATTATTTCGTTGAACAGGTACTGGCCTAGGAGTTATAAAACCTGAGCTGACACACCATCTTTGCACTAACTAGTTCTCTGAATGATTTCTCAACTGTAAAACAAGAAGAGTTGAAGTAAATGATTTTGAAGTTTCATCTTAGCACTTAATTTACAAACTATAATAATGTTTTAGACAATAGTTTGTCTAGAATCATCAGTTGAGAGGCTAAATTACAAGACTTCAATCTCAGCTTTGATTCAATCTCTACAGGTATACTGACTGTAGCAAGTGAATAGGAGAATCACATTGTCCACTTTCTCTTAATCATTAGTGAGCAATGAGATGGTTATATCTAGAGGAAACAGGAATCAAACTGCCCACAAAATAGGAAATAAGACTCTTGAGAGCAAGAGATTATATTCTGTTATAGTCTAACTTGTTCCAGTAATCTTTTATGTATTTTGCTGCCATATCTAAAGCAAAGGAGTGAGTACAGTAGTAAGTGAAATGTGATAGTACAGGGGAAAGAAATTAAACCCCAAGAAATCAATTTATTTAAAGTAATATTTTACAATGCATACTTATTTAAAATAATTGCAAAGCATATTCTCTGGTTATTCTGTGTCATTATTTTACCCATACAGGTTTTATGTCCTGAGAAGTATTAGATACCTAGTTCTTACAATTGCCTTGGTGTTTATCAGGAAGACCTGCTTCTTTTTTACTTTCATTTTCTTCCTTATTGCTGTTATGCTATCCTTTTCCTTTGCTCTACTGTCATTGTTACTAACCCTCAGGTTCTTTCCCCCCTTTCTCACCCCAAGCTTTCATAACAGGGCAGTATAGAGAAGGGAGATTGTGTCTAGTTAAAAAAGTGAGGAGGTGACCTTTATAGATACAGGGATTTTCTTGCAAAAAAAAAAACAAAAGTTACCCTAACTATGAATATTAATATAGAGTGATGAGAGGAGAAATATACTCTGCTTGAAAAATTTACATACATCGTAAATTTGCTTTTTATTGGCTAGAATTTTTAAATGTATTTTTGCTTCAGATTTCCCCCCCCTTTGTGGAAGTTTATACAGTGAAATAGAATTAAGAAAGGTCATTTGGCATTTTGGGTTAGTATAATAAGCATTCTACTAAAAGAATTTTTTTTTATACTTTCCATGTAGAAAGCTCTTTATAACGATTTACTGAAAGGAAGAATACATACAAGAAAATGTGTCTTTGGCTGTGCTATAACTGTCAATTTTGAAACTTATTTACTAAGAAATGTGGGTCAGGATGCACCTGTACATCAGTTTCAACTCAACACAAAGTTTACTATATCATTGAAGTTAAGCTTTCTAAAGATACTATTGGAAGATTTCAAAACATCGATTTCCAGCTGTGTGAGTTTATGTTGTCATTTGCAACCAAGTTTTTCTAATCCTAGTTAGACATTTATTATTTTTAAGTTAACTTGAATGATGATTAACTTCAGAAATAGATTTATGAGTAAAGACCAGAAATATGTAATCACATTTTGCTAATTTTCAAATGATTGCTGCACATGCTTAATACTCAGAAGAAACTGCTTGCCTGTGGATTAAATTTTTAATAATGTAAGTTTGTCCATGTAAACTTGAGAATTTATTTGAAAGTTCTTATAGAGAGAGAAATTATTGGTGATATGCAATAATGTTCTTAATCATTTAGAATTAATCTATAGCTGGCAATTGAGCTTTGTTGGCCTGATTCTTAGAATTCTTTTCTTTTTTTGATTATAACTTTTATAGTCTTAACAGTCTTAATGTAATATATGTATGTGTTCTAAATATATGTGTGTATAAATTTTATATTTACTTAGAGGAACTCTGTTGCACTTACGTTTCCTTGGCTTATAGAAAATATTTTAATTACTGTTTTACGCTTCAAGAAATCTTTAGATCTTAACTTTTAAAATGCTTTGGGTAGTCAGTGAGTAGGAAATTGGATAAATGGAAATATTCTAAATGAAAATCTCCTTTATAGAAATTCAGTCTTTAAAATACTTTTTAATGATTTTGAGAAGCCCTATAGTTTAAATGACCTGTTAAATTTAAGGAACACCAAGTAAAGGTTAAATTGAACACAGGCCACATTTTTCACCATTTAACAGTTTCAAACTTACTCTGTGATAATACAGTTTTATGTTGAATACTACTATGGTATGCCATTTATGGAAACACTGCATTTATGTATGCACATACTAGAAAGATTTCTTGCCATCAGAATTAGCTTCTTTTACTAAATGAATTTGAACAATTTTTAAAGCCAATGCCAATTAAAATGGTGTTTCCTGAGCTTACCTTGCAGTTACCTCAGAGTTTTTAAAAAAAAGTTCATTTTTAAATTTCAAAAATTTGTACTAAGAATTATTTTAAGGAAGATAAGAAAATGTGAAATTCCAGAGCAAGAATGGCTAGAAATCATTGAGTTAAAGAAACTGCTTTTTAAAGTTTCCTGTGATGTCATTAATTGCAGGAAAGGATGACTTTTTCATACCATATTTTGTTAATTTCTCAGTTCAGTAAGTGCTTTCTGCATCTTTTCCTATTAATTTTTTCTTTCCTCAAATATTATGTGTACTGAATCTAAGATCACCTAAGATCATTTCTTAGGCTTTGAAAACTCAAAACTCAAAATTTAATTTAGAAATTACTAAGTTAAAATTTTCACAGAACTTGCTAGGATTGTGGTTAGTCTAAGTTACCATAAACTATTCAGACTTAACTTTTAACTGGTAAGGATAAGAGAATTATATATGTCTTGACTCTCAAAGGCATTACTTTTATCTACATAGGCATGAGAGAATGTGGGGCAAACATTAATGTGTTTTTAATATTGCCTAAGTAGTTGCTTATTTAAGGTCTTAATGACTGGTAGGTTACATCTGGTACAGTTCTGTGTTTTAAAATATGGGTACTTTTTTTTTTTAAATATATCTTTATTGATTTCAGAGAGAGGAAGGGAGAGGGAAAGAGAGGGAGAGACATCAATGATGAGAGTCATTGATTGACTGCCCTCTGCATGCCCCCCTGCTGGAGATTGAGCCCACAACCCGGGCATGTTCCCTGACCGGGAATCCAGCTTTGATCTTTTGGATCGTAGGTTGATGCTCAACTGCTGAGCCATGTCCAGCTGGGCAAAAATAAGGGTACTTCTTTGTGGTGAATAGATAAAGAAAGAATAGATGGAGAAAACTTTCTGTTGAACAAAAATTTTAAAATGTACAAAAATAGAAAAGTTGCAGCTCTAGCTGTGGTCCTTGGACCCAGCAGCATTGGCATCACCTAGGAGGAGCGTGTTTGAAATACACAACCTTGTGCCCCACCTCAGACTTAATTGATCAGAATCTTCATTTTAAATAGATCCCTAAGTGATTTGTTTTCTTATTAAATTTATATGCAGCTCTTTGCCTAGAGTCATTAAGCACCTTGCTATTTTTTGTTGTTGTTATTGATGCTGT